CAGAGTCACAACCAACCATTTTTTAGTTATTTTCTGCCTAAATTCTGTATCTGGTCCAAGATCGTCTTTGGAAGGCGGCTGCCATTTTACCAGGTGGAATCCTCAAAAATTCAACCAATATTCAACCATTTTTAAATTGCCACAACAGCAATTTGTTGTTGTTCAGCAGTCCATTCCTATATCTTGGTGCCCCCTTGGTGCCTTGGCTGAAATGTCCATTTTAACATCCTGTCACACTAACGATTAACAAGCGTCAACCATACCTCTTAGATGCCCAGCCTCCTCTAGGCACATGGAATGCAGAAATGAACCAGCCCAGATCCCCTCCATGGTGTCAGGGCAGCAAGGGGTGCAGGAGAATAATCTCGGTTTGAATCGTGCCTCTGTCCTTTCCCAGCCTTCTGAGGGCAACTTTGCCTTAATCTCCAGCTCAGGACAATGAGGCCCCCAACCTGAGTGGTGCAGGAGATCCACCCCTCCTAGGGGTCCCAGGCTCTTGGATGGGGGTCTGTGGAAGGGACGTGCTCTCAACCTCCTGCTTGCTGCTTCTCTCCTCTGGATCTAAAGGGCCGATCAAACCAGATGGCCTTAGCCCTGCGCTGATGGACAGCAGCCACAGCCACGTATGGCTATGGAGTACTGGAAATGTTGCCAGTCCAAATTCCAAGGTGCTCTCTGTGTAAAACATGCACCAGATCCCAAAGACTTTGTACAAAGAAAAAGAATAGTAAATACCTCATCAATAATTTTAAAATATTGATTACATGCTGAAATGATAATATTTTGATTATATTGGGTTAAATGAAATATATTATTACAATCAATTTCATCTTTCTTTGTACCTTTTTATGTGGATCCTAGAAAATTTAAAATTACCTATGTGGCTGGCATTATATTTCTACTGGACATTACTGCCTTAGACTTTTCAAACATAGCACATACCCTCTCTGCCTCATAAATAATCCCACAGTGTCCTCACAGTGACAGAAGCCCTTGGCTTTCCCAGAAATACTAAAGCATAGCAACTACCATGCCTAAGCCATTTGCTCTGTGCTATGCTCTTGATAGGAATCATTTCACTTAATTCTCATAGCAACGCTATGAGCAGGGAGCTATGACTCTGCCCATTTTTCAGAAAAGGAAAACTAAGGTTGGGCAGAGACTTTAGGGCACTTAGCCAAGGTCGCATGGAGAGTAAGAGCAAGAGCAGGAGGTAGGGAGGACACCAGGGCTGTGTGGCCACAGTGTGCACGCCTGACCCCTTTTTCCAGCGTCCTCACAGCCACAGCATCCGAAGGCTCCTCCTCATCACGGAGACCCCCAACGTTCTCACAGTCTTAGAATCCCATCGGCTCCTCCCAGGGACAGAATATTATGGAGTGTTCTCACCCTCAGAGACCCCCATTTCCCGCTTGGTGGCATCAGTCAGGGCTGGATTTCCACATCGTGCTGACTTAGTGAGTGCCAGGAATCTGACTGGGGCTCCCCCTCTTCAAGCTGTTTACACTTCAGAATGTGGGCCAGTTAGTGGCAGGGTGGCCTCAGGCCCAAGAAGTACACATGGCTCAGGATGCAGGTAGTGTTAGTGCTCGTGAGGTTTGGGGGCACTGAGCCCCCACTCCAACCTGTGTGCAGTGTGCTATTGGGATCGCGGGACCTCGCCTGTCTTCTCTGCCACCATGCAAATCTGATCAGGTCCTTCAAATGCAAATCTGATCAGGTCCCTTCTGCTTCAAGGACTCTTTACTTGCAGGGCGAAGTCTAGCAAAGCACCTGCCCGCCTCTCTAGGCTTATCTCCTTGTCACCCTCACGTTCAGTTAGGTCATCAGAACAATATTTTAGTCTGGCGATGTCCAAATATATATATGAACGGAATTCATTCATTTGTTCAACTGTGCCAGCCTCTAACCAAGGTATTGTGAATACGGTGGTCAATCAGACAAGATCCCTATGGTTCAAACCAAACGCAATCAACGTGATTTGCTAATAACAGCTCCTCACGTGGAAGAGTAACCATTCCTACACATTAATGATAAATCAATGACAACAAACAGAACAAACAGAAAAGCAAAAAAGTGAGGGAATGTTATTTCCCAAAGTCCAGACTGCTTTCGCAAATCATTCCGTCTTCCAGAGAACGAATTTGACCTCCATTCCGCCAGGGGCCGCCGCAGGACTACGCGTGCGGGAGCCGCCCCGGAGCCGCCGCTCTAGGCCGCAGGTCGCGCCTCGGCTGCATTTCCGCCGGCGCTGAGCGCGGGAAGCGGTTTCCTGTTCTACTGGCGGGAGTCATCCTCCTCTGGCGCGGTTTCGCGGTCTTCGGCACCATCCCCCCAAAATCTTCAGACATCCGCACCTTCCCGCACTGCAGGCGCTGTCTCTGTCTCTGTCCCGCGCCGTGGGTCGCCGCGCTCCGGTGAGTCCACAGCGGGGAGCGTTGGGCACGTGGTCTGCGTCCCCTCTATAAGGGGGAACTGAGGCCGTGACGGGGCTGGGAGAGCGGCCAGAGGTCAGCTCCGAGCCCAGGCCCACCCCGGTTCCGTGCCCGCCCCCTCGGCCGGGGTGGTCCTCTCGGGATTCGTGTCCTCGAGAAAGGGGCCCGCAGGGCGGACCCCGCTGCTCCGGAGCCGCGGGCGTGCGGTCCCCCGATCTCAGCGCCCGGTGGGAGGACTCGTCCCGCTAACGGCGAGAGATGTGCCCGGCGACGCGTGGCCCGAGGGCCCGCAGGGCGCCGTGCGGAGCCCGGGTGAAGCGGGCCGGAGGGCGCCGAGCCCGCGATCCTCTCCGCCCCACCTCCTCTCCTCCTGGCGTTCGATCCCCCAGGGCCCCTCGGCGCTTCCTACCAGGTGAAGCGTCCTCACGGCCGTTAAGCCGTTTCTCCCCAATAACCTCTCAAGGGATGTGTTAAAAGGTCCCTTCTGCAGACCTGTTGGCTGAGCTTTGGATTCAGGACGCCCCCAGGGCCTCGAGGGGCAGAGTCTGGGTTCCCGCCCCCCTTGGCTCAAGCCCCTTCCCCTTTTCTCCCTGCCTAGGCCCTGCGGCTGCCGAGCTCGCGGAGAGATGGGACCTCGGCCTCGGACGGCTGAGCGGGCTCTGCGTCCGCCGGCGCCCCCTGCTCTCCTGCGGGGCCCTGACCCGCGCTGCCCGACGCGCCCTCCGTGTCCAGCGGCTGAGGCTGTGCCCTGGTGAGAGCTGCGGCTCCTGAGCACCTTGAAGGGGGCTCGGTGGCTTCCTGCTGCCCGCAGAGGGGGTGGTCCTGGGGCTCAGGTGACTTCTGAGAACTGTGTTCGAAGCCCTTGTGCAGGAGGAGGCCTGGTGTAGTAGGGGGGCTGAGTTTGGGGTCAGAAAGGCCTGAGCCCAGATCCGGACTCCGCTCCTCGTTACCCGGGTATCCTGGGGCGAGTTACTTCATGCTCCTGAGCTTTCCTTTCCTTCAGGTAGGGAAACCGCAGGAGCTCTGGGAGGACAGAGGCCTTGTCTGTGTTTTTCTTTGTTTTTGAAGCCACAGTGCTTGGCGCCCAGTAGGTGCTCAGTCAGTATTTGTGGGGTGAATAAAGAACTGAGGCATGTTTACCAGAAGCTGTTCCTCCTGTGGACTGTGTTGATGCTGGGAGCTGGCATCTTTCTATGAAGCTCTGATAGCGCTCGGGGTTCTGAGCTTGCCTAGGGGGACAGTGGGCTAACGTGGGCTTCTCTTCCTGGCTCGCCTTCTGCCCGCTTGTGCCCCTGCATTCGAAAGTGATGTGGGCTGCCTGTGCCCTGGTCATTGATTGTGCAGGGAGAGGAAGTGCTGAAAGCCTTTCTCTGTGTTTGGAGGGCCCATCCTGTCCCTTCCAAACCCTGGAGCTTTCCCACACCTCCTCCCCCTGCCACCTTTTGGATGACCCCTGTCCCCTGGGATCTCATTGAGTGCTCTCTGCCTTGGCTCCTGGTTTCTGTGAGGCTTTCAGAAGGGGTAGTGAGAGTGGGTCCTGCTTCGGGGAATGCGTGGGTTGGTTGTGGAGCCACACCTGTGGTTTTCTGACACTAGTCTCCAATTTCAGCAGTGCTGAGTCCTTTTCTGCCCCTGTGTGAAGTGATTACAGCCTGCCTGTGCCCTGGTTGTTGGTAATGCAGGCAAAGGAAAAGTTGGGAGGTTTTCCTTGCATTCAGGACATCCATATGTGTCCCTTCCAAACGAGACAGCCTTGGGTGACTAGGCAGTGACCGAGCATGAGGATGGAGGGAGACAGGCTGTCAGTGCATTCACCTCCTGACACCTGGATTCCCCCGGGGTTTTCCTCTTGGTGAGCAGAGTGGTTTCTGGGCATGCTGTAAGCAGTGCCAAGTGGGCAGATCATGTGCTGGCTTCTTGTGCCCTGCAGGAGTGTCACGTGACTGCTGATCCGCGTTCATGAGAGGTGTCCTCAGGGAGAGCGTGGATTGTGAAGTCCCAGGTAAGTGGTGTCCTGCCTGGTTCTCTAGAGCTCAAGTCTGTGCAGGCTGCGAGGCCACAGGTGTTTAGCTTATGAGGTGTGGGGAGAAAGTGCAGGTGAAGGCTGCTTCCCAGTGCCACCAGCTTTGTCCCCTTGAGCCGGCAGGCACAGGTCTGGGCCTGCTTCTGAGAGTCCCCAGTGAACGCCACTATGATGTTGAGAGGAAAACAGCAGTGTGCTGGAGTAATGGACAGAGGGCTGCATTTCAGAGTCAAACCTCCATTCATATTCAGTGACCAGCTGTGTGTGCTTCTGTAAGCCTGAGTCTCCTGTCAGGTGTGCGGTATTGGTACCACTTACTCCCAGTCTTTCAGAAGCCAGGGATTCTCAGTATTTGTGCTGTTAGTCTTCTCTCCAACTCTTGGCAGGGAGTGGTAAATAATCTCTGTAAATCAGTGGTAGCTGCTGTAATCTTAGGCTGAAAATCTGGTCATTGACTCGTCTGCACATCTGTTCCTAGTTCACGCTCCCTCCCAGGATGCTGGAAAACCTCTCTCCTCGGCTCACTCATGGGCCCTTTCTGCACCTGCATTCGAAAGTGATCGTGGGCTGCCTGTGCCCTGGTCATTGATAGTGCAGGGAGAGCAAATGCTGAAAGCCTTTCCCCGTGTTTGGAGGACCCATCCTGTCCTTTTCAAACCCTGGAGCTTTCGTACACGCCATCCTTCCTGCCAGTTTGTGTGACATCCTGGTACCTGGCTCTGGGTGGCTCCCTGGGCACTCCTCTTGCCAAGCAGGGCCCTGCCTCAGGGAGTTGATGTTAATGGGTTCATGGTCACTCCCCTCCTGGAAGCTTTCTTGGCCTCCCCATTGCACCCCTTCCTGCATTCTTGGCCCCGCCCCTCAGAATAATCACACCTGGAAATTGGGGGCTTACTTCTCCTGCCCTGTGCTGTAAGCTTGAGGGCATTGCCTGACTTGTAACACCTGGACAAAAACCCCAAACAAGGAGATGGAGGTGACACATGGTTGTGACGTGATAGCGTTCATCCAGTTGTGGAGTGTCTGGGGAACAATGCCCTTGAGCATACCCGCCTGCCGAGGCTGAGGCAGTCTCCTTTTCTTTTCCCACTGGAGTGCTGTTTCTCTACTGAGGGGTGGACTTAATTACAGTCCCCCTTGAGTCCTGGCCGTGGGCAGGGCCCATGGTCCACCGGGGGTGATCTTCCTTCTGCCCTTAGCTTAAGAGACAGGGACTAGTAGTAATTGAGCTGGGCAAAGCACAATATAGTTGAGAATATACATAAAGCAGCCCTTACACTAGTTGGTGGACGTGGGGCCCTCCCACTGCTGGTTACCCCTCCCAGTCCATTCTAGTCGCAGCCACTCAGCTATGGCACTCTCCCCAAAACCAGGCCTCGGCATCCTTTAACAGACTGATTAGCAACAGACTGATCACAGTTGGCACATAGGATAACATGGATGTTACTTCTGTCACAGGTGATCTGCAGACCCCTTCCTAGAGTTAAATTGTTCTTGTCCTAAGACAGTAGTATGGCCATTGAGGTGCCAGTAGTAACAGCCTGCATTTGTGGGTGCTGTAATCTGCCAGCCACTGCCCACCAGGGCCTGCTGTGAGTGCCCGTTCGTGCCTTGTCTCTTGCAGATGTGTCTGCAGTGCAGAGGCTTCGTGGGAGACATCGTCTTCATATCAGCCAGGTGCTAGACCCTGGGCCCTGCGGTAAGGTTTTGGGCCGTTCTCTGGATTTGCGTGTGTCTCTAAAGTCATGTGCATTTTCCCTGGGGCTTTGGTGATGATGTGAGGAGAAATGAGGTGGCAGGTGAACGTGGCATCCCGTGAGTTCCCAGTTGTGTCCTGGCTGTGGGGCAGTCCCTCACGTGCCTATAGGGGAGAGGCCTCTAGAAACTCACTTGGATAGAGGGCTCCCTGGGCATCTCCCTTCTGAGGACTGGGCTGTCAGCAGCGTGCTGTGTGGAAAGCACGTGGATTTAGGCACCGGAGACTCTGGTTCCACCTCTGGGCCCGTGCAGCTCTGTGACCTATTCTCAACCTCCATTTCTTCACCTGAAAAGCAAAGCTGGGATAGCAGAGAAGGTTTTTAAAAAAATTTTCATGGTGATGTCGTGACCACATGATTCTGATCATTTCCAACCCAAAAGCATTTCCAATTTTTTACGCTGGAAGTGTCCCGGCTCCCTATGGCAGGGAAGTTTTATGGGGTCTTCACAGGACACATCAGAAGCTACTGGGGCTCTCTGCTGGGCTGGGCCACTCTCCTCGACTCAGGCCATGCCCCAGGTCCCTGGCACCAGCCTCCTGTCCTTTGTAGTTCTCTTTCTGTCCTTTTCTGCCCCTGCATTCGAAAGTGATTGTGGGCTGCCTGTGCCCTGGTCATTGATAGTGCAGGAAGAGCAAGTGCTGAAAGATGTTTTCCCCGTGTTTGGAGGGTCCCATCCGTCCCTTCCAAACCCTGAAGCTTTCCCACACTAGCTTTTCTCCTGCCCTTCCCCTCAGAGCTTGGGCCTTTGCTGGCCCCCATGTGCTATGGTGAGTGGTCTAGCCCCGTGACTTGTGGTTCACTTTGTCTTTTCAAGTTAAGGGTTGTCTTGTCAGAAACCAGTCTATGCCTTTATGTTTGGACCTCACACTGGAATAAATTCAGATAGTGCTGAAGGGCACAAGTGCACACTGTAAATCATGGGTTCTGCTTTATGAATTTATAGGAATGGAGGATAATCCATAATAATACATTATTCAAGACAGCTTGTGACCTAAATGCTTGTTTGTGTGTCATCTTTGCTCCTCTACTCTTTCTTGAGCACAACTTGTGTCCCTTCTCCAGGAGCTGTCAGTAATGTCCAATAAGTGGAGAAACAAAAATAACGTTAGGGGCCAGGCGTAGGGGCAAAGAGGGAGTGATTCAATTCTGAGTCAGTAAAAAAAGTTCTCATTTGTCACGGTCTGCCAGCAGCCCAGGGAGTTTTCTTGTCAGCCACTGATGAGAGAGGAGTACGTTGACTTGCCAACCTGTTTGTAACCCTCCTTTCACTGACTTTTACTCTGTGCTCTTGTGGTTTGTCTTGAAAAGAGAAAGGGTCTCTTGACCCCAGGAGTTTATTAGAGAAGAAGTTCTCAGGCCTGTGGACCCTTGAAATCTGTATTTGTAGACTCAGGACTCCCTAGCTTGCTTTCTGGCTCATGTTAGTGAGAATATTGTGTTGCTGCTTGGGCTCCCTGCCATGTAGTCAGGGATCAGCAGGTAGGCTGACCTTCTGCCTTTCATTCTGTGTGCTGCAGAGGTGTTCCGTGGGAGGCAGAACCCTGTGAAGGTACCTTCATCTGTAGACTCAGAAGATGCTCCACGGTGCTTCTGACAGTTGTGTCTTGGCTCCCGGGTAACAGGTGAGGCGAGGTTGGAGGTGAGGTCAAAGTATCTATCCCATTGATCCTCCACTTTTGGTCCCATGGCTCCTGTCTGGTTCCCAAGTCCTCTTCTGTCTACATTCAGGACTCTTGTCTTTGAGGATGGGGTCCTGTATTTTGTTCCATCTCATGAGACGTGGAGGCAGTGAGAATAATATGTGTGAACTACCTGGTACTCTGTAGCCACCTGAGAGCCCCCTGGTCTTTCAGACCTGCCTTCTGCCCCTTTTACATCAGAGGCTTGTCCTGTTCCACAGCCTACTTCCTGGTCCTGCAGCTCCTCAGCCAGTCTGGAGGGTTTAATGGACAATGACGGTTTTGAAAAGACAGTTTATCTTCCCCGACCCCAGACCTGGTAATGTAGACCTCGGTGTAGAGTCTTGTGGGTTGAATTGCAGTTCACTTGTTTAATGTCCTCAAGCATTGATGATGTTTTCTTATTTATCCTTCAAATGGGCCTGGCAGTCTTGATCTTCAAAGATCTGGGCACCTAACACATCTTGCTGGAAGTTTACCTTTCATTTGCCTTTCTTGATGCGTCATATTAAGTGGGTCTTTGCAGAATGGCGTGATGGCTGCTGGGGCCTTGTGACAGGCTGGGCAGACAAGTAATGACACTATGGTAGGAGAGCTGCTGAGGAAGGTCTGTCCTTTTGATCAAGATGCAGTGGGACTTCAGTGTCAAAGCCCCTGACAGCACTGAGCTGTCTTCCTGTGAATTACCCTGTCTGGTCATGAACTGCTTGAAAGGAAGTCATTTATTATAAAAACTAGACTTTTAAGATGTATTTCCTTTGTTACCCTTTCTATTCTGGTGATAGCTAGTTCGGCGTGCATAAACTGGGAGCTTGGGTCTGGGTGACTGGGACTCTCAGTGATGTCACTTGGGAAGAAGATGGCGTTGGAGACTAAACGCTAGTATGCATCCTCTCCCTCCTAGGTCAGCCTTATATCCGGAGACTCTTGAAGGAAGTCCCAAGGCCATGAGTCTGTGATCCTCGGGGTGCCTTGAGATCTGGGTTTGCTGATATTTCTCCCCTAGGTGAGTTAATGCCAAGGGCTGGGAACCCACAGCCGGAGGGAAGCTGGTTTGCTTTTATGCAGGGGGGAACTCCAAACCATTGGTCTCACCTGTCCTTTTTTTCAGATTCTCTTGGTGGTGGTCTTGGACACCAGATGGGGCAGAGAATGGAGATTGAGGTCCCCACATGAAGCGTCATCAGAGCTCCTCCTCATTGTCTGCTCAGAGCATCATGGAACAAGTGTTCATTCTGCACAAGAGATCAGAGGGAAAGCGCTGGGACTGGGGGCTTGGGGTCCACTTCAGCTGGCTCTGAGTCTTGATACAGCAGTACCCTTAGAGGGCCATGGACAGGGAAGGCCAGCCCCGTGTCCCTCTGCCATGCATGGAATGACTTTATTTTTTTTGAGGAAGATTAGCCCTGAGCTAACTACTGCCAATCCTCCTCTTTTTGCTGAGAAAGACTGGCCCTGAGCTAACATCCATGCCCATCTTCCTCTACTTTATACGTGGGACGCCTACCACAGCATGGCTTTTGCCAAGAGGTGCCATGTCTGCACCCGGGATCCAAACAGGCGAACCCCAGGCCACGGAGAAGTGGAACGTGTGCACTTAATCGCTGTGCCACCGGGCTGGCCCCAGGAATGACTTTAATAACCAAGAGTTTTTCTCTTGAATTTGTAGCTACTCATCACTTTCCTCTCCACTCCCCCATTCAATAAACCTTACACACTTCCTCCACCTGCCTTTTAAATCAGTAACAAGCCACATGCCAGCGAAGCTTGGCCTGGAGAAAGTGGGTCACAGACTAGATCTTGTTTTCTGTCCTTGAGCCTTTCCTCTCGCACTCCTGAGGCTTGACACATAGGCTGTTTTTTGAGGTGTTCACTTAGGGCCAGGAGGTGAACAAATGCTGGTGGTTGGCTCAGATTTAGGACCTGTGAGGGTTGAGAGTGTTGAGGAACAAGCCAGAGCTTTGGAAGGGTGGCCTGGAGGGAGACAAGTGCTGGTGTCATCTGGGGAAGCTGGGATGTCCTGGAGTTCTGGAGCCTGGCTCATGAGTAAATGCCTGCTTGTGTGACCATCTGTCCTAGTTTGCTTGGAATTGAGGGGTTTCCCAGGATGTGGGAGTTTTCGTTGCTGAAACCAGGAAAGTCCCAGGCACACTGGGACAAGTTGGTCAGCTTATCTAAGGTGTAAAATACATGGTGTCAACTTCAGAGGACAAGTTACTGTGTAAAGATGGGAGCAGGGTGAGCACGGAGCAGCTCCCATTGGTGGACATTGGGAATGTCCTCAAGGTCAGGCTCTTGGAGATAATTGGAGTAAAATCAATAATTGCAACAGTGTGATAATGTGCTAAGGATGTGCGTGCATGAACTCTTTAATCCCCATTTTACAGATGGAGGGGTCTATATGAAGGAATGTGTCCCAAAGGCCATGATGAAAGGCTGGAGTTAGTTGTCCAACTGAAACCACTTTGGCTGAGCTGAGGCGGAGTTCTGCCTGGGAAGCCTTCCTTGATGAGTTTGCCACCTTCATGGTCTTCTCTGCTGGAGCAGGCATTCTTCGTGGCTGAAATGTTCACTCTGCCAGCCAGTTCCCGGCAGACGCATCCAGAAGTCAAAAGTCCTTTTTCTACCTCGCCCCGAGGACTATCCTCTGACTTCTGTTTGCCACCTTTAGTCAGCTGGTTGTAGCTGCCTAGAAAGGTGCCGAGAGAAGGGATCTGGGTCCACTTGAGAAAGCTGTGACTGGTTGTTCATGTGTGTTGCACACGTTTGTTTTTGAGCCGGACACCAAGCTAGAAATAGGGGTACAATAGTGAATAAGAGTTTCTGCCCTCAAGGGAATCACCAATAAGTATATAGGTAACGTGTTCATATACCAAACGTTTATGGAACATGCCCTGCTGCTGTGCACTGCTGTAGGTGTTGGGGATACAGCTCTGAACAAAAGAGGTTGCCCCACAGACCTTGTTTACAGCTGCTGTCCCTTATGGTAAGACACTAGCCGTGTGTGGCTATTTTTTTTTTTTTGAGGAAGATTAGCCCTGAGCTAACATCTGCTGCTAATCCTCTTTTTGCTGAGGAAGGCTGGCCCTGTGCTAACATCTGTGCCCATCTTCCTCTACTTTATATGTGGGACGCCTACCACAGCATGGCATGCCAAGTGGTGCCATGTCCACACCTGGGATCTGAACTGGCGAACCCCATGCTGCCAAAGTGGAACATGTGCACTTAACTGCTGTGCCACCAGGCTGGCCCCATGTGTGGGTATTTAAATTGATTTAAAAGTTTAAAATTCAGGTCTTCAGTAGCCCCAGCCAGATTTCAAGTGCTCAATAGCCACAAGTGGCTGCTGTGTAGGACAACACAATACGTAAAGTATTTCCCTCATTGCAAGATCAGACAGCGCTGATCTAGAAGATAAGGAGTTCAAGGCTAATTCTGTGAAAGAAGAGTGTCGCTGGGACACTTACAGGAAGGCTGTCATCTGAGGAGTCCAAAGAAGGCTGGTGTGCCCGATGCCGGGTCCCTGCCGATGAGGGTGGTTATGGTTATGTGGGTGCGTAAGGCTGGGGCAGTGGCTTGGAGGGGGTGTGAGATCACTGGCTTTAGAGTCGCACAGACGAGGTCTAACCCAGCTGGGTGACATAAGGCAGGTTTCCATCACCTGACCTCAGTTTCCTCTTATAAAATAAGGACTATAGGAACGTGTTGAGGTAAGGATTAAACAGGCTGATGTCTATAAAAACCTGTGTGGTGTGTGCCTTCAGGAAGTGTTAGTAATTGATAGCTATTTATTGAAGGTTCCTCTGCACCATACCAAGATTGGTCTTTTTGAATTTTTTTTTCTTGTCTTGGGGGCTTTTGGGGTATAATCCCTAATGCTGAAGTTTCCAGGAAAGTAAAAATAGTTCCCCTCCTTTTACAGTATAAGATTTGTGTAATGTACTGATTAGTAGATATTTAGAAGCATTTACCCCCAAATTAGAGGATATATGGTATTCTCAAGCATATAAAGAGCATTTACAAATAC